GTCAGCAGTCACTAGTGATGAACTCACCACTCTTGTCAACGTGTATTCTATCCACATTAACGTCTTTAACTAATTGACCCTAATAACTTTTTTAACTATATTCCAAGACTTTAAAAATATAGAAATTTTGAAGTATTTTATCTACAAATTGTAATGAATTAATACATTTATATTTAGCACTGTACTTACTGTATTAAACGTGTTCTAACGGTAAGCATATCTAAAACGGGAACATTTTTATAGTGCTATAGTTGTATTAATAATATGGCAGATAATTATAAGTATAAATGTGTAAATAAGGCAAAGCAAAAGTATTACATAGCGATGAAATAATAAATATAAAGTATTTAGGTCGATGGCTGTAGAACTGTTAGGCTGGTGCAAGCCTGTCATGGGTCCGTATACCATGTTGTAAAACAAAATATTCCACTAATTCGACTTGAAGTAAATTTTAAAATACAAGTTTTGTCGGCATACGTACAAAGCAAATCCTAGCTTTCTGGCACATAAGAAAGAAATCTTTGTCTTAACAAAAAGTAATGCATTAGTGTCGGTTCGAGTTATATGACAACTATATACTTTCTTTATCACAATATTCCTAGAGCTTGCATGTTCTAAGAGCATCTCTAAGAACTCTTTTTAAAAAAAATTATTGGAATGACAGAAAATATATGAATGGTGAAATGTACAAAGGTATGTGACATTGCTCTTTTGATCAGGTTGTTTACCACACCAATACAGAGAAAATAATTGGTTTATATATATATATATATATATATATATATATATATATTTTGTAACTGATAATTGGTTTGTATTTCGAAAGGTTATTATAACCTTGACAAAACAGAAGCTATATACTGTATAGATGACACATCTGAAAACTATTTATATAACTTCACTAATCGTATATCTAGCTGGAGTAACTTTTAACAGTTTCAACTATGCCACTTATGTCCCTCTTTTACACGTATATCATGTATTATATTGTTTCCCTTCAGCGGTATTAAAAGACATTGACGCAAATTCAAAAGGACATAGTGCTCGTTTGAAGGAAATCCCTCCTCCTAACACCATGTGCAATGGCAATTCTTAGCCAAAAATCCTTAACAAAAAAATATATAATAATGTGGGAATCCATCAAATTTAAGAAAATGTGTCAAAATAATCCTTAGATAAACATCAGTCTTGTTCTTGTACGCGGGTCCCGTCGTCATGTGGAACCCTGCAACTGGCACCTTCCTCTTTTTTTTTTTCTTTTTAGCTAAAAAAAAAATTAAATAATAAAATAATTACAAAAATCCACCTCGGTTATCGCTCCAACAATAACACCGTTGCACATGGTCTAAGACCGTATACAACGGTTTAAACATCCATTTCATTTAAACAGCTTCATTTTTTTAAAATCTCATTCACCTAATTTATTTAATATTTACTTCATTTTTATCATCTACAATTATTTGTTTTAAAAAAATCAACACCATATCCTATAATTTTTAATTTATATTTATATCTTTTTATAATATAATAACTATATGCTGATAAAAAATTAGTTATATTAAATTAAAACTAAAATAACGTAACTTTTAATAAGAATAGTTTTGAGTGTTAAAAAATTAACAAAAATAAAATAAAACACTAAAATAGTTGGTTATAATGAAAATGACGTTTTTTTTTGTTTGTATCCAAATGAAATAAGAGTAGTCTCTATTTATAAAGCATAAAAAGTTAGGAATTTCTTTATAATTTTTATTTTATAAAAAGCAAATTTATTTTATAATAAAATAAGTTCAAATTATTAGGTAAGAATAAAAATAAAAAATAAAAATCTGTAAAATGTTTTATCTAATCAATTTGCGCCATGTGGCTAAACAGGA